CTAAATGTTTTTTTAATCTATTGCACTGTATTCACTTTATATGTTTATATGTTGGACTAGAGAGAAACGTCTTTTCAACTCCCCTGTATGTCCAGTACATTGTGGAATTGACAATAAAGCAAACTTTGAACTATGTGTATCGATTTCATTTCAGATGCAGCCAAAAACAGTCTACTGCGACACCATATTACATGTACCATCTACGTTGTAAAGCTGTGATGCTTTTAGGAAGTATTTAAATGTATCAATTCAAAGTGAACTAAATCAAAATGTGGGATTTTATTATATGTTGAATCTTAACTAACAAGGATTACTGATGAATAAAAGCCATTAAACCCCTTCAAAACCAAGACGTGATATGACATTTTATAGGTACTTAGGAGGATTACAACAGTCTGTGGTGACGAGCTTTAAAGGGATAACATGGACTCTTCTTTTTATTGCAGACAATGTTAACTCTGCATGCTCCCTGAAAAATCATCATAAATGGAGTGCTGTAGTGAAACAGAATACAGTCAAGCGCCTCTTTGCACTCGTATATTCAAAGTATTTCTGACAAACTTGTGTATGCAAAGGAGCCGTTCAGACTTTGGCCTGACCTGATAGTGTGCCCAGCAGGCCTCCCACATGCGCAGAGCCTCGGTGTCGGGGAACTCTCGTTTGAAGCAGAGCAGGATCCAGCGGTGGCAGAAGAGCAGCTGGAGGCCGTCCTCCCCCAGCCTGGTCAGGTGCTGGTGGAAGCGAGGCAGCATGAGACGCAGCAGCTCCCGCAGGTACATCTGGAGGCGGTTCAGAGAGGGTACACACCGTCTTACAAACACATTCAAACACATTCTAGGGAGATTTCAGTATTCTCAGGCTGGGATTATGCTTCTCCGGGCGGCACGCAAGCTAACGCACACATAGGGCTGGACAATATATAGATATCATGTCGATATCGTGATACGAGACTAGAGATAGATATTGGAATATCGTAATATGGCATAAGTATCGTCTTTTCCTCTTCTTGATGCTGATCCGGAGCTATTTGACCATCGGAGTACACTGCCGCTTTTTTGTGCATCTCCGCATAATTCCATATTTTTTTCCACTTCTACGATACAATCTGACATTTGCCCGACTCGAAAGGCAAAACATGCAAAAAACATCCTACCAGCTGCCTCTCCATGTCTTCATCCCGTGGCGAGCTGATGAAGATGGTGTTCTCCATGAGACCGACGAAGCACCAGAAGGTGTCGCTTTCGTCCTGGATCTCCGTGAGCAGGGGGGCCACCAGGTCAGACATGCCCTGGCAGTAGCCCATGTCTGGATTAAACACCGCATAGTTGAGCAGAGTCCGCCTGGTTCCAGAACAGCCACGAACAGAAAACACAAACATCTAATGTCATAAAAGCAATATAGTGTCATGAACAGCTTTTGTTATTTTGTCTCTTACATAGAAATGTTCACGACCCTGCAGCCCAGCCAAACCACAAAACAAAAAAAAAAAAAAAAGTGTGGTCCCGCCCAAACACTGAATGATCCAACATGTGTTTCAGCATCGCTGGTAATCACAAGCCCTGCTTAAGCAGTTGCTATGCCAACCCTTCTGGTAACCAGGGAGCTAATTAATGATCTTTCTTGTATCTGGGTTCTACTTTGAAGTAAACTTCCCTGGTAGTCTTCGTGCATTCGTGAGGATTGTAAAACAAAGGGAAAGCCCCGAGGACTAATTTTTTTATTGTTGTCAGTGAAATATTAACAGAAATAGATGTAATTTGGAACAAACGGGGGGTTTTGCAGTGGTTATGCAATTGGTAAAGGAAAGATAAAAATAATAGAAAGTTATTTGCGACACATGGGCACAATAGAAGCTTGAGATGAGTTTCTGTGCATCTGGACATGTGCAGCGCTGGGATCACCGTTTCCCAGACGCAGCATAAGACATAATACCTTGACAAACACCACAAGGCTCGATGAGAGTCACTAAACTAATATGCTATTTAAATCCTCTTGCTCCTCGTTTAGAAAGCCATTAGCTCCGAGTATGCATCAAAAGTGCTCCGACGGCTTAGTCGGAGTCAATAAAGCATGAAACTCATTTGCGGCTCCCTCAGGGTTCAGAATATGAAATGAGAAAGGTACGCCTGTGCGTCGGGCTGAGGGACAAGGAATGATAAGGACGGATTGAGAGAAGGTGTGGGTGAAAGAGACAGAGACAGAGATCGCGAGTGGGAAATGAAGAAAGCAGTCTGACCTCATGATCTCCACATTTGGGTTGTTCTCTCCTCTGAAGAAGTTGTTGCTGCGGTCGGTTCTCACCACGTCTTTATCCACTGTGAACTGGACCTTTCTCCAGAACTCGCTGTGCTCCTCTGGGCTCATGGACAACCTGAAGAATACACACAAACACCAGGCAGAAATGGAAAGAAATGAGATACAAGTTTTCTTAAACAAGATAAGTTTCCAGAGTCAATCATGATAGATTTAAAAGAAAGTTTTTCTAAACAATCTCTGAGGAAATGAAGGTAATTAGGATGGATTAAAAAAAAATATATAGTGTCATGAAATAATCTTAACCTCAAATGTTACTCTGGTGTAAAACGCTAATGGTTAGCTGCAATTAAAAAAACGTGGGGGTGGGCAAGCAGTGGACTGAAGGGGTATTTCACCATCAAGTGCTCCGCTGAGGATATTACCACAACCATAAAACCACCATCTATCCCTCTAAATGTTAGGGAGTATATTAGCAATGTACTCTGTGTGTGGCACTAATGTACCCAAGTCCTAACAAGCAGAGGGGATTTAATTAACACTGTTTGTTTTCCATGTGGCCCCACCAGGAATAGTGAGCGCACACCTGATGCAACGCCATGCAACAGTTTAGTTTCAGTGCCGTGTGCCTTTGTGGTTGGACCCCTTTCTTGTCTTCTTCCTCTCTCTCGAGGATGCTACTCAAGAGTTCAGCACATGTTTTTATCACTTTAAATGTCTGCGGCTGGTATGGTTAAGCAAAAAGAAAGCTGTGTTTACATAGAAATATAAAGTAGAAATATAAAGTAGGAACATAATCGCTTTAGACACTACCTCTGCCCTGGATGTTATTTCATGTTCACTACAGCATGGACCAACGTCACATACCACAGCATTCATAGACTTAGTTAGTCCGACCCTAGAAGGGCCTTGAAAATACACAAATCTCCAACAAGGAAATAAAAATAAAACAGTACAAAATACCAACAACGGCACAATGTTCCTAACATAAAACAAACTCCATTTCATTCACACGATTCCTCTTTGAAATGCTTAAGCCTGAGACATTTAAGCAATTAGTCGATCAATAGAAAGTTCATTATTTTGATAATCCATAAAACATTTTCTGGCTCCGGCTACATATCTGAAGGTCCATCTATGAACAACGTGAACGTTACTGACAGAGAGAAGTGAACTTCCTTTTTTCTTCCACAAATCCTAATCCAAAATAGAGCTCATGTAAACCTAGTCAGTGGTAAATATAAGCACTTCCTCTTTAAACCATCTTCTTGTATTAAGCATGCAGCTTGTTACGTGATGTGTTGCTAGCAAGAACTTGACTCGCAAACATAAACATAACCAGCAGTATTTGAGTGCAAAAAAGGTCAGAAAATATGGATTTTCTTCATGTATTACCTGAAGTAATTACCCAACCAACTCTGTACCATGTGATGATGAAATCCAGCTTCTGTGTGACAGCATGAACTAAATAGATGTGTTCTTATGTTTTCTATGTGTGTATGTGTACGTTTTGTTTCTTCTTAATCATTGTAGAAAACAAATAAATATATTGAGCTAAAGAAAAAAGAAAAGTAATCTCATCTAAAGGCTGTCATTCAGCGATTTTGAAGCAGTTTTTCCACAATGACAATATCCTAAAAGAATCTTCTCTGTCACTTTATCCACTCATTCTGTTCACCTGTTGATCTACATCTGCAGTTGTTACAGCTGCATTGCTTCCCTTTGCAGCTGCCTAGCTATCACAGCTGAGGGAAGGACACGGGGTTAGGAGACAAGGAAGCAAACCACAGACGTGTATCCTCGCTCCTAATGATCAACTAGTTGCCCCGGAGGCTGCTCTTGTCAAATGGTCTTTAAAGGAATCCACATCAGAGTCAGAACAAGGGCTAATTACCCGACTTCGATAAGACCTTCTGACGCACTCAAAATGTTAATAAGCCGTACGGTTGAAACATGTCCAATTATCATATTCATTACAGACAAAGGGTGGAATGTGTGAAAATATGTGCACACTCAACCTCTTGGTTAAGGGGTGGTGACAAATGAAGAGGGATGTGCTTGTGTGTGTGTGTGTGTGTGTGTGTGTGTGTGTGTGTGTGTGTGTGTGTGTGTTTTTTTTCTTTCTGAGGAGAGAGTATGATCTGATAACCGCTGACATGTTTTCTCTCCAGAGACCTTTTATTTCACACCCGGCACCTCCCCTTAACACTTCCCTGATTGTGCCTATTGATTGCTCAGCGCCTGCGATGCGGAACCACAACAGACTCACATATGATTTAATGTTTGACTGACTGAGCGCTCGGCAGCCGATACCGCAGCCACGCGACAAGCCGGTCTGCCGCGTCTTGGTCAGTCTTTTTTTTTTTAAACGATTTAATTTCCGTAACGTCAAAATAACTTTCATTTTATGACACAGATGTTATCAGCGGCCAGGAAATCAAACAAACACACATTTCTACTTCTTTCTCCCTGTTGCCCACCTCCTCTGCTGGATGTCATGATAGTGGGAGCGTTTTTGCAGTCTCCAGGCCTCCCTCTCCTGAGAGGAGTCGTCGTAGCTGTAATAGTGCAGCAGGAAGGGCCACACCTCGCCACGGATGGATGGGTCAATACCGCCGAAGAAGATGGCCTGGCGGGAAGTGGGAGGTGAACAAACACAGTGAGCACAAAAGGGCTAACAATGGGGCACACAGCAAGGGATCACTTCTGCTCTGAGAACATATCAAACCGTGTGCAGACAGTGTAGAGAACACAGCCTGCACTCAACCGTCATCTTGCTGAACTACAGCAGACAAAGTGTTTCATGAGTGTTGCATGACGCTGCAGAATTCCTAAAAAAAAACACTGTATAATCTGCATGTCCGGCATAACACTGCTCTTCTGTTCCTCTGTAAACATTTACATGTTTACAGAGGAAATGTTTTCGGTCACATTCTAACTGCCACTGAGTCATTTCAGTAAGATGGTAAACCTTCATCCGAGTCAACTCGGAGAACTCGAATGATTCACAAGGGGGGACATTGCCCAAGACCAACCCTCTGACATACTGGAGGTGCTGATTCAGACTGAGAGTTATACACTGTGTGCTTCGCTTTCAAAATGACTTTCAGTATGTGTGATTGAGAGAAACAGATGTAAGAGAATGTGAAGCTTAAGTTAAATGTGGAGAAAAGCAGCAGGTGAGACATCTCAAAACGGGATTGTAAAAACATGCAGACGCACACCCACACCTTGCGTAGCTTGTATTCCTCCTCCACCTGCCCGTTGTGGTTGAGGTGACGTAGCCAGGTGGTGACATCAAGCCGCCGATAAAGCTTCTCCTCTGGGTGAGTCTCAGCGGACGGCAGGGTGGGCCTCTGGATGGAAAACTGCATGCAGGATTTCTCATCAGATACCTGACGGAAAGAGAATCAATTGTGGGCACAGAACCAACATTTAAGTAGAAAACTGGGGGGGGAAAAAAAGCAGAAAAATGTATTTTGTTTCTCAATAAAACTATAGATGCCAAACAGGATTTTAGATTGTAACCTCACCTGGTCTTTAAGCTGAGTTTCCCTGCAGCACTTCCACTGTTGGAAGACCTCAGCCAGCTTGTCCAGGCCAGCATGGTGGAAGTTGAGAATCTTATATTGGCTCTCTCGGCTGGCAATCACCAGCTGGCCACTGGTACACGCCTCATCGCTAAACAACATAAAGAAATGATAAAGACAAGAAATTAAGATTCACAAAGAATGTGTTTATTAAAGATGGAGTAAACCTCTTTTCACTCCTCACTGAACTTTTCTCTAATCATAGCTCAGAACTCATTTTCCATTTATTATAATAAAACAAATCGACTGAGCGACGCCCCTTCAAGACCTCCCTGTGATCTTTGCACTCCCCACTGACCAGAAGAAGAGTCTCAGCGACCGCATGTGACCCAGGTCCACCCTGAAAACGCCGCACAACTGCTCCAGAACCAGCACCTTCTGCTGCTCCTCCCACCGCACGCCATGCGACTGGCCGCCGCTCTCAGAGGGGGCGTGGCTGTCCAGGCTGGAGGCGGAGCTTGCGGAGTGGGTCATTGACTCCTCGCACAGCTCCCTGGCAAAAAAACAACAACAAAAAAAGGACAAGAATTTATTTGAGCTTGATTGTGTTGAAGGGAATCGAGTCATGTTTTCCATGAAATCAAAAGGAATGAGACGTCTCATATTATTTATCCCTTCTAGATGAAAATCTCTCATTTCTTGTGCTTCTTATTTAGAATCGCAGCCATTGTTCTACGTGGAACATTGATAATAAATATGGTGTCGACAGTTGCCAGCAGTGTTTAGCCCAGCAATAATTGTTCAGACATATAGTTCAGCCTCTGTTGTTTGTGTCTCAGTATGGTTCAACCAAGAGGCTGAGAATGGGAGGAATGCATGGAGGCTTCTGAGGACACACACACACATAAGGAAATCTGTACACACACAAATCACACTGTCTGCTGTCCAATTTCCCCTGTCATTCCCCCATGGCCAGCATGTTGTTCCCGGCACTGAAACCTGAGCCGAGGGTTCTTCTGCTGCAGGAGGACGGACACACACACACACACACACACACACACACACACACTCCACAATTATGTGCAGCGAAACACGCACACAAGCGACAACACAGAAAACATATAAAGCTGTGTATGTGGCCAACACAAATCCTCATCCTGCGCCACACAAGTACACACACACACACGGACCATAGCTAATGACCATAATGCACTCTCGAACACGTCTCGAGACATGCTAATGCTGAGAAACAGAAATGTGTTAAACCCACTGACATTTGAGAAGTAGACGTCTACATGAAGTTATTTGCTTACTACTAGCCATCAAAAACACTCGCACACATTTATTTAAATAATTAAAACAAGAATTTAAAAAAATGCAGTTAATTATATCTTTGATTATAAAAAAAAGAATGCCACAAGAACTGTTTCCTTTTTGTATGAATGAAAGTGTGAAATTAAAAGTTTATTTTTGTTATAATTTGAAGGAAAAAATTACAAAGAAAACTATTATCTATTTACACCAATGGTACAAGTGGCATGTTTATAGCACTTTGAAAAGATAAGGGAGGCCAAGTCTAATCTAGTTCACCCTGAATCAATCATGTCCGGCTAATCATTTCCCCGTAAGCAGATGGGAAAATAACAAGGCTGATCAATCCAAGCTGCACAGTTTCCTCTGCTATCTAGTGATTTACTGCTCCCTGTCTCATGTATCACGCCACTAACCAGAGTGTGGAATACAAGGAGACTGGGAGAGAGGCACAGACAGCTCTGGTAAGGAAGTGAAGCGATGAGAAATATACTTTCAAAAAGGACTTCTGTACTCGCTGTCTCATAAGTCCGATGGCGGTCAAGCTCGGGTTGTTAACAAGGCGCATGAGCCCATTTACAGCAGACATTTCCTTCAGTCTTCTACGCTTTTGCGTATTTCTCCACATAAAAATAAAAGTGCAAAAACCATGGAAAATGTGGTGAGAAAGCACATGATTCTTGGCATTATAGCACAGATCCTCCGCTGTGCTGCATTGAAGCGGGAACTCAGCGAGTGATTAACAACTGTCTGTCAGAGTCAACGGCCTGATTCTGTTCATGTGCTGTAGGCAGCCAACGCAGGCAATAGCCAAGCCATAAACTGTACAGAGAGTGCATTATGTAAACAAGCTGTTTTGACGGAGTCAGGCTGCCGCAACCGGCTTGTCCCACCAGGCCGGGGCGAGATCAAAACTGCCCCGAGGCCCTTCATAACACCTCTCTCCGCACACACGAGGCTTTACCCTGGGGGAAGGTGCTGCCAGGTCACCCTGAGAACCAGGACCAAGTGCTACAAGCCTGCAGGGACTCCCAGGCCCTTCAGCTAATCCCTGGAGAGATGAGGGAGGGCTCGGGTGAAGAGGGTGAAGGAGGGAGGGGGGCTCTCTGCAGTGCCAACACTGGAAAGTGGTCACTACAGTTTAAAGTAAAAACATCTGACGTTTGTCATAATTATGAATTATGTGGTATTATATTAATCCCAGAACAGCAAACATTCAAGTCAGATGTAGGCCTTTCTACATACTCGTCCTCTAAAAAGAGTATTAAAACAGTATTCATCCGCCTCTTTACAACATTGATTCCAGATACCTACACACGGAGGATCTCAATTGAACTAATTTAGTATTTTCTGTTTGTAAAGCGTTTAGATCTGCTGCAAAGATCAGTTTTCACTTTGACAGTTCAGCCCAAAATCAAAAATAAATATTTTCTCTCTTACCTGTAATCCTCTTACCAAAGCTCCCCAAAAACAATGTGAAAAACTCAAAAGCGATGTCTCTTTCCAAAAACAATGACCCAGTTACTCAAGATAATCCACAGACCTTGTTGTGAGCAGTTTCCTGGAGGAACTACGGTTAAAGCTAAATAGTTCCGACAGCTTGAGTAACCAAGTCATGATTTCTGGAAAGTGACATCGCTGTTGAGTTTTTCAAATTTATTTTTTTTTGGCTCGTTAAGCACCACAAGCCGAGTGCCATATAGTTTGATTATATTATATCTCTACAGACAATATCTCCAAAACAAGGCAACTCACACCAAAACCATCTAGACTGATAATTAGCAAAGGTAAGAGGAGAAACGTGTATTTTTGATTTTGAGCTGAACTGTAAAAGTTGTAAAACAATACACGAAAACTTCCAAAGGGCAGGTCCAATAAATAATAAAAAAGGAAAAACTATTTCCAATACATAACGATGTTTTTAATTTACCTCTTCAGTACCCTGCACATGATTAAACGGGAATAAAACTGTGGTCACGACTGCTACACGCACATGTAACCAGTGATAAATGATTGTAGCTGGAGGCATCACAAGCCAAACACATTGGAAACCACTTATCTCAGACATCACATGCTCGTGTTCTGCACGTAAAGCCTCACGAGGGCAGTGCACACTGACAGTCAACAGCGGTTTCATAAACTTCTGTTAAACTTTAAAGGAACTTCTTACGCTGTGGATTTCTCTTTTTCGCCCTCCCCCACCACCCCACACTTTTCATCCGCTCTCGCTCTCCCATGCGCGGTTCTTTCTCTTTGAATGATTCCAAGTGACATGTTTCCAGTTCCTGGCCCCTTAACAGTGTCAATTAAAGCAAGAGAGAGAGAAAGAAAGATCGAGTGGGTTCCAGGGTTTTGGCTGCTGCTCCACGCTCTTCAGTCCTCTAATCCGGAGAGCTGACATTCAGCCCAGCACAACAACCCCGGGAGCACTGGGAATCAAAGGGCTTCACACAGACTTTGGTAAGGGAAGGGGAGTAAGGGGGGGGGGGGGGGGGGGGGATATTTCAGAGGTGGGCAACACAGAAAGAAACAATATTGAGAAAAACAGAGAGAGAATGAGCAAGAGGACAGGATGCAAAATAAAGAGGGGAAGGAATGGACGGATAAAGGAGAATCCAAGAGAAGAGGATGGACACGAGTGCCAGAGAGCTGAGGAGAGACACCAACGGCACCGAGGAATGGAGGAAGGGAAGGACACAGTAAAGGTTAGAAGCTGTGAAACAGAGAGCGCTGCCAAGTCACACACTGACTGCACTTACAGCAAGCTGGGGTCTGAGAGTGGTTAAAAAAAAAAAAAAAAAAAAAGGCCTAAACACACACTGACACAGGCTCACACATTCTGGGCAACAAGTCCAGCCAAATAGCTGCGTGAGGAAACGACCACGGAGGGAATCATAAAGTCAAGCGGTCGTGAGGTCCGAAGAGCAACACAATCACTGTCCAGATGGCTCGCTTGATTAGAGAGCAGTCTCTCTGGAAGCACTGGGGTTGTGGGTTTTTAAGGATCTGGGGACCTATTTAGGGCCATCTGTGACATTATGAGACATTCAGACAGAGAGCAGCGTCCAGAGAATGAGCCCATCTTGACCTTTTGGTCACATTTCATAGAAATCATCTACCTGAGTTCACTCCCAATGGCACGCTGAGCTGCAGTGCAGGAAGCCACCATGTGGCCACAGAGTGTAAATGATCACTCACGCAATGAGTTCCTTTCTTTTTGGCTCCACCTTGTGGTAGTTTAGGGTAACTGAATGTACCTTTATAACACACAGTAACTTGTAACAAATGACCATCTGCATTACTGTGCTATACATTAAGCTATGACAGCTTGTCATTCAGATGAAAACTGCTGACTTTTTGTGTCTAAACGCCCCGTCCTCAGAGAGATGCAGATTGTAAATACGAACTTATGTGACAGTTTGATAAATTCCACATAGAATATCAACTGAGGAATGCGTCTTTGTAGTATTGGAGTACAGTTATGATACAATAACTGGGAATGTAGAGACAGCAGGAATAACACACAGACACATCCTTAAATGATCCTACAGCACACTCGGAGGATTTCCATACTCCCGAAATCTGTTTGCCAAAACTAACCTTTTACTACTTGTAACATGGCCATGTGCTCGGGGTAATTAATTGGGTTTTTTAAGCAACCGGGGGGGAAGTTAACACAACTTATACGCAGTGAGAATTTTGAAGGCCGACTCCATGTTTTTAACTCAACATATCTAAATTTCATTGCTTCCAGACCAACAAAAGCAACTTTGCATCAATAACTGTAACGGCTCAATGAGAGACGGTTGAATGTTTGATCAAATCTTACTGAATGTAACTGTCATTTGACAGTTTGCAGATTTTTCAATACTGGTTTGAAAAAAGAGCCCAAACTAAAAAAAAGACAAGATTTAAATAAGTTTTTAATAATGAATAGAGATACACCGACACCGATATCTGATACTAACTCAAATAGATGGATCAGGTACCAGTGATAACAGGCTGATCTGGTATCAGATACCAGTATTTTAAACAAGTTTGTCGGGGCGTCACGATTCTCCAAGTTCATGAGTGGTTGACAAGTCGATTATTACTGGTTTTTCAGCACTGACGGCAATACCATCTTCAGACTATAATTAGCCATATATTAGCCATGAGTGAGCTTGGACCTGAATATTTATAAAATGATGGCTACGGCCCTGATTGCAGATTCAGTTTTCCCATTTGTCTCAAATAATTCTTAATTAATGTTGTGTTTCTGCTATTTTGTCAACCTCATTTAGGCCGTCTGCTTCTATAATTATCTTCCACAACAATTACAAAAGCAACCCCACAATTAAGCTCAATTAAGCTGAACAGCAATCTGCAGCATGCGTCATCTTTAACAAAGGAAGTCAATAACTGTTATCATTTATTTTTTAGAAACAATTACAAATGATAGTAAATGATATGGAACTACTTAGTGCCACTAATAGATATTGCCTCAAATGCTGGTGATTTACTTATAAAGACTGTCAAATTATGAGATGTTGTCATAGAAATTATAATGGGAAAATCGCACAGACAAAAGAGGAATAGCAGTCACAAAAGTAAACTCTCACAAGCACCAACTGCTGGATGTTTGTGAAACAGCACCACTAACTACAAGTTAGAACATTACCACATTTAACCAACGAAAACACAGCCTTATTAAAAGGTTCTCTCACCTACAATTAACCATTTTTGACAATCGCAGAGCAATAAAAACACTACAATTCTTCTTCACTGAAAAGCTACAAAGGCAGACGTGAGAGAGTGTGACATGCAACACACGTCCCAGGTGGTACTGCGGTTATATAGTATGTACCTTAACTCTTCGGCTACCAGGGTGCCCAAATCACCCAATTGTTGATAATATGTGGGACAGGACCATATAAGAATAACTGTGCAGTGTAAAAATAACAATAGAGATCATAAACGAAGCCCATTTCAAGCGACTAACTGACCTGCTCTCACTGTCCAGGAAGACGGAGCCGCCGCTTTCACAGAGGGCCTCGCTGACGGGGGACAGGCAGAACGGGGAGGAGAAAGTGTCCGAGTCCGAACCCATGGTGCTGTCCCGACTCACTTCGTCCGACAGCTCGCAGGAGCCCTCGTCGCCCTCCTCCCCCGTCGAGGGCAGCTGCTGCTGGTGTGAGGAGGGATCCGCCCCCGCCTCGATCGCAAGGCTGTGGCTCTCTGCGGAGGTGCTGCTGGTGATGTTCCTCTCCTCATCCTCATCTTCCTCGTGGGCTCCTGGGTGACGGGAGTGGGGTCTGGAGGGGAGACAGGTTGGTTCAAAGCACCATCGGCATCATGTAGAACACTGATGATGTTTGTAATCTCAGTGTAACACTTTAACTTCATGCCTTATCTTGAGTTATTCTTCAACAGATCTAACTTTTATTATCATTATAACAGAGGCAGCAACCTCCGGGTCTGAAAAGTGAAGCCACAGCAGAAGCTTTGCTTTCTAATATCCATCAGGTGGCGATACTTCTGGTTGCAAAATAGAAGTCTATGAGAAAATGACCCGACTTCTCTCTTGATTTACTACCTCAGTACAACATTGTAAACATGAGTTTATGGTCTCAACCTCTACTTTAAAGTCGTCAGCATGATGTTCATTTCGTAAATGATGACCCCCAATGTATTGTCACATTTTGGTTGTCTAAAATGATCTTATACAAGGTTCCAGTTGTACTAAATCTACCCTCTCGTGTCACTTCTGGTTGCAAAAAACAAAAGATGGCAACGTCGAAAATGACGAACTCGAGGCTTCAAAACGATCCACAAATCAATGGGTGACGCCAAGGTGACTCCGTCCACTTCTCATACACAGTCTATGTTATATTAACACACCAAGACTTTTGAGGATACACATTTTAAGAAATGACGTTCCCACCGTCGGGCTCGACGCCGTGCATTCCTGCGTACAGGGGAGCTCTCCGGTGTGATGTAGCGCAGCGCCTCCTCGTCCTGCTTCTGGATGCGGGAGTTGGGCACCCAGGTCAGAATCAGAGTGGTGCCGAGGCTCTCGTCCTTCTCCGTGTGGACGCACAGGTAGCCTGCAGGGGGCGACATAAACCACAGACCAAAAATAAATAATCATGTTCAATAAAAAGAAATGAGGAAATGACAAAACTTTTATATAAGCTGCAGGGAGCTGCAACACAAAGACAAACATGAAACCTGAGAGGAGATAAAAACACAGAAAGAGATGAGGACACACCCCGAGAGGCCAGTGACTACCTTGTTACACACAAGCAAACACACACACACACACACACAAGCAAACACACACACACACACACACACACACACACACACACACTTGGAGGATCATAAGAGGTAAGAGAAGGAGAAATTAAGGAAATGCTATTTGTGTTCATGCCAGGGCGAGTTAAAAATGTAAACCAGTCACACAGGTGGTGTGACTGGTTACACTTATAAAACCACACGGTCAGAATCGTCCGATGCATGAACAAGGCAGGTGGACCATGGTCAAAATATTTTAGTCTGCGTTACAGCGGTTTTAGTAAAAGGAGGAATATTGTGCATTTACAGTTATACAGTAGTAAAAGTGGAAAGCTCTATGAAAGCCTGTGTCGTGCTGACAGCAGAACATCTGGTCAACAGCTGTAAATATGCAATGAGTTTCAGAATCCTTTCTAATCTTTGCTTTTTATGGTGACATTTTTTGGTAAAATAATAAGCGAACCCATTCTATTGTATATTTGCAGTGAGAGATCTAGTGCCTTTTATTTATGTTCCATTTTATTTTACTGGTTTTAAACCTTTTTTCGTTGTCTTTTTATATTGCCTTGTGTTTCTTTCATATCTTGTCTTAATGCCTTTTTATGTCTTATGTTAAACAGTCTGAATTACCTTGTTGGTGAAAGGCAATATACATTTAAACGTCCCTTGTCAAGCACAATAGCATCTGTATATAAAAGGTGGATGAGACGCTGAGGGATTGTGACATTAACACTGCACTAGGAACTTAAAATTCGGTACATCAAATGATTTCTCGACTTACTTCATGTCCCATTACAGGGTCGCTGCACGGTTTTAAAAATCAAATCAAAGACTTTTGAAGGATCAACAGGAACCTTTCATTAATAGCTTAGCTGACAGGAAAGCAGGTCACAACGGTTTCTCTCCACATCTCCGTTCACACCACACAGAAACGCAGCAGGAAAGACGATTCCGACATCAGTCCAGCCTCACCTGGGTGGTGCTCTGCCAGGCCGGGCAGCGGCTCTGCAGGGTGCACGCAAACGTTATTTTTGGAGAAGATGATCTCGCCATCCAAGCCCGAGCGCAGCGACAAGCCCCCCGCCCCGGGGTTAAAGGTCAGGAGATCGGAGGCCTTGGAGGAGGCGCGTCGCAGGAGCCGACCCAGAGACATCTCCTGAAGCACAGGGACGCTGGGCCCATCGTCTGGATATTTGGGAGTAGAAAAGGGAGTTTTTATGCGGAGGAGGGGAGGTCAGTCCATGACGGACATGTGTGAGTGTTGAAGAGCAGGAAAAGCAAAGGGCGGGGGGGGGGGGGCATTAGAGGAAAAAAAAAGGAAACATGACAGGTCAGGTTTGTGTTTTAAGGACAGTGTGACACGGCGTGGCACTAGAGAGGACTGCACACCTCCTCCTCACCTACACTTCACCTCCTCCGTCACACGTGTCCCTGTATTTACTGCAGTGTCCTCTCTGCAGCGCTCAACCCCACAATCCCCTTTCCCCTCCGTACCTGCTCAGCATTTCTTTATGCCACAGTTTCTTTGCGGATGCCTGCACCTACTAACAAACACACTCACAGGATCTAGTGGATATAGTGTGTAACCAAATAGGTCCCACCTTCTGTAAACAACACACACACACCGGTGTGTGTACACACACACACACAAAGACATGTGCAAACACACTTCCCTCCGTCAGTGTCCAATTCAATTCCTGGCAGATATCGGCATCCAACAGATGTCATCAGCAGCAGCACTGAACTGGGATCAGCAGGTCACACCACCGGTGTTTCACCTGTCTGCTTCAGAGGGAAAGTCTCAATTGATGAGACAAACGTTGAGTCCAGCAAAAAGTGACACGGCTCTTTTGATGTTGCAGGATGGTGTGTTGTTGTTGAAGGCTTCCTTCTTTGAAAAAGACTTAAAGTGATCTTTTTCAGGCTCAAAGTACACTAAAAAGAAGTGAAATCTAACTCTGTTGTTGTTGGTTTTTTTGCTCCTGTTTGATCACCACACATAGAACTCGTTGATTAACTTGCTTTGACATGTGGATCTGTATCTTTGGACCCACTTCACGTGTGTAACCTTGTTTTCTTGTTGGCTGAACATTGACATATGTTCCCCACTCCATTTGAGGAATGTTCCCTCCTTTTTCCTCAGAGGGCATGTTTACCTCTGCCTGATTAGGCAGGCACCCTGCTTCCTAATGCCAGGCCCCAGACAGGAAGTCTGCTGGCACGAAATCCAGGCACGACCTGGGAGAGGTGTCGGCCATCATTTGCTTTACATTTCAAAAATTGTGTTTTACCATTTGTGCCGTACATCCTGTAAAAGATTGGGGCTGCTGTTTCTTTCAGATAACAATCAAATTGTCATAACCTTTTTTTTTTTTTTTTCAATTAACAGAGAAATCATTTCATCTAATAGATTGAGAAATTAACTGCATACTTCCTACTGAACGAATGATTAAGTATGAATTTACCAGCAGACAGCCGGGCCAGTTTCACCGAACCTCGCCAGCAGCGCTCACATCTTCAAAAACAGTTCACCAAGTACACACCCGAAGCCTAAATAAATGCATCAAGTAGCAGTTACGCACGTGGTGGCCCAGAGCTGAGATGCACGCCTGCACAGAACCGGTCTTGACATCTGCATAGATTACTATGACATCTGTTGTGTAAAAAAACTCATCAGATACACTGGCAATGTAGACGGGGGGGGGTTAGTCAATTGTTGATTGTATTCAACAAACATTACAGCAGTGGTAGTTGCAGACACACCTGGCGGAGATCTGCACTTCACTGAGGGCACCTTTCTAGTTTTATATGTAAACAGACTGGAAAAAAAAGTACATTTCATACAACTAGGACTCTAATGGGCAAGATAATAATCTAAAACAGGAGGACAGAATATTCACTTGCCAAGTCACCATTCCTCTATTTGCAAGCCACAATATTACACTACTGGATATTTGCATGATAACTGCTTCAAATGGCACTACACACCGATGGACTAAAGCAGTGTCAACACAATCTGACTCTGCATTCCTGCAAGAAGACACACACACTCCTGAACAACATGCTACCTGAACATAATGACAGGCCGCGATCTGAAACATGCCACACACAGCTGTTTCCAGTGGCCTCATAACAGCAGCAGTAATGTGCAGCTCTCCAGTGGTTATTTCGGTCTGTATGTGATTACAGGGCCACTCGGGTCAGTTTGATAGTGCTCGTTCAGTCTCGTCCTCTCTCACTCGCTTCATCTTTTATGCTGTCAACACCTCAGCGTGCTCACACGAGGCCTCTCCTCTCTGACCTTTCACTGTTTTATCAAATGATTCACATCCTTTCGGACACTCTAAACTCTAGTCTCGTCCCGCTAGATTGCCTCCCAAAAAGAGAGCTTTTAAGAAGAACTTGAAACCCATGGAAACTCAGCTGCAGGTATAGAAGCTGCCCGGGTCTCAGCTTCTCACCTCTGGGCTACATTAATTAAGTTGTCACGCTGACTCTTGAGTAGGAGGAGCCAATACTGAAAACCCCCTTTACATCCGTGCTGTATACTAACATGCCTGCAGCAACTGAAAGGAGACCACAAAGAGGCCTGAGAAACAAGGTTGTTGTGTGACTCTGAAAAGGCTGGGTAAGTTATGAGGAAGCTTTATGGGCGACTCAGTGGGAGCGTGGAACGCACTTTTCTCTCTCGGGAAAAGTGTTTTAATGAGCTTCGTGTAAAGTAATACAACGTGTGTGCCCTATAATGTAAATACACTCGTTAATATATAGATATTAGCTTATCTCAAATATCTCTCAAATATCAATGTCTTTATGCGCCTAAAAATCCTGCTTTACCCGGCCGATTGAACTGTTATTATCTCAGGCAGAAGGATCATGCGACCTGTCGCGTGTGTGTGTGTGTGTGTGTCCATTAGTATGTGTGTGTGCACCTCTGTGTCTGTCCACGGCTAATCTCCCATTCTGCTACAGCAAACGTCATAATATTTTAGGTGACAAGTTATGGCTGCATGCTCAAGGACCTCTCGTGGTTGCGGTGACTCAACACCCTTTACTGCCTGTTTTATTATACTGCCTGCTGACCACTCACTCACTATACTCTTAACCGGCCCCCGGCTGGTCGGGGGCCTCAAGTTATAACACATCCAAGTGCATCTCTGACCCCAACATCTGCTACGCGCCCAGAGTGAGGGGGTATTAGTTTGCAGTGTGTTTGGCTAAAAGCTAATGACAGTACACACACTGCTGTGCCTCACCGAAACTCAGCCGCTGATAAGCTGGCAGACAGTGAGTTTAATTTGGATACGGCAAGATTGTCTGCACTCTGAGTGCACCTCACCTTTTAAACTGCATTTTAATGAAGGGTGTTTTCAATCATTTACAATATTCTCTTTTACATATGTAGTAGAATCCTTGCACAGTAATGCAATCAAACACGAAAACACCAAAGAGTTGGATCACCCCATGAATGGAAAAGTATACAATATATTGCATATCATTTTAAGTGTTTATGATGTACTGAATTACATTAGAACAGGGATTTACCTTTTACTGCTCGGTCCCTGTATAGGGTGAATTTAGGTTAAAGGTGTTTGTGTGGTTAAATCCTTGTCTACCAAAATAAAAACGCTGGTTGAAGGTGGCCTCTCCCTGTCCGGACTGTGGCAGGACTGTGGGGAAATACCTCGAAACACCGCCTGTGTAGCAGAGGCGTGCCATGTTGTCGGGGGCTTCATCAGCTATCATTACACTGACACCGGCAGCATCCGCCAGACAGCAGGATGGGACCAGGCTTTTGCCACCACAGCACTATTTACACACGAATATATATATATATATATATATATATCTGAGAGTTGTATTGCCTCAACAGCTAACTGTAACGTTACCATCTTGAGCATAAATATTTCATTTCAGCTGCTTAGACCATGGCCGAAATTCCTGCTGGTTGCATTTCACGGTGTCCGCGTTTACATGCAACTTTAAAGTTTGTTTTAGGCCAACAGCAGCAGAAGACAACGTTCTTCGCTCGTACCGGAGACATGTGTCCTTCTAAGGTGTTGCCATTCACCTGTTTTCAAGCAGGAGAAATGAATGAATAGCAGAAACGGGGCCAAGCGGCTGAGCTCTCACCTTCAGTCCCGCCGCAGAAGTCTACACCCCATGTCGACCATCCATCTCACCGGGGACCGAGCGGCATGTACCGGTGTCCTTTCGCCGCCTTTTCTCCCGGATTTAGCTCTGCTGTTTACGGAGTGTAGTCTTGTTTGTATCCCCGTGTTTTTCCCGACAGTGACACCACACGTTTAACTGCTGCTCTTTCTACAGCAAAAAAAAAACACTTCCGGTTGTAAATTTCAAAGTAAAACCTGCCTTTCAGAGGAATACGGCGCTGACGCCTCAAGGCACTTCATGCCGCTTTAATTTGTAAACTAAAGTTGTCTTACTTCCTGTAACTACTTGCTCATGCGTGTCTAACTTGACCGAACAGCTCCACACCAATCTCCAAAATCCCGCTGCTTCCGGAAGGTGAAGGCTTTATATCCCACAAACCGTTACGTTCAGACGTTAGAATGAACACACGGAGGTTCACGAGGGCATGTCTGCACTTTAAAATGAAAAATATATATGTTTTACATTAACCCAAGTCATCATCCGACCCACCCCTCCTTAAAGAGCTCACTCTCTTTCATCACAAGTGACGTTTTAAAGGTCACCGGTAAACGCTCGAATGCGGATGGTCCGTCATCAGGACCAGAGATCTCGTCACAGCATCTCGTCACACAGATGCTGGAGGCTTTACCTGTCCGTTTAATTAAAACCGTTTTTAGTTTCAGGCAATGAATAATTTCTCCCCTTGCTAAATTAACAAAACACAAATTACTGCCTTCAACCTATAGATTTAGATGTTTTGAACTAAAAATAAATTCTCAAGTAGAATTGTAAATTGTTTATATATTCAATAAATCATGTACAATTCTGGTGGTACACGCAAATGCTACTGCACTTACATGTTGTATTATGTTGAGAAAAAGTAATGACACAAGTTGGTACTGTGGGTCTCATTACAGAGACGGCATGAAACAGTATATGCAACATCTTAGGAGCGTCATAGTAAACAGTCAGCAAATGAAACCTTCTGATAAGCTATCACATGCAGCGCTGCAGACAAATACATTTTTATAATACACTTCAGTTACAAATACATATAAACACGATTTCAAAATATAAACAGTCTTAGAAGTTATATACATTTACAAGATATTACATGGTCTTGATTCGGTGTAGCAGTTAGCAGCAAAAACGACCTCGCAAGAAAATCAGACACGTCAAGATGATGGCTCCCTTTGTTTTTAAAAACACGCTACTTACAGAGCATCTAATTTAGAAAAAGAGGCAAATTCAAGCATAAGGTGCATCTCGAGCTCCAGGATGGTTGGGATGGCTCAAAGAAATCAGCTGGTGTGTGATCTTTACAGTAGTAAATGCAAAGGCTGCCTAAAGTTCAGCGGTAATAAAGTTCAGTGCATCAGAGAGCCCACTGGACTGTAAACACCTCCGACATCGGCAACGCGAGGCTGGTCACTGTCAAAACCTGCAGTAAGAGAGAGACGCCAACAGAGTTCGACTTAATGGTTATATTCTTTGACACAAAGACAAATGTCAGTAGACATGATGAAGTCACCTTGGTGTCACTGCGGTACGTGAAATCCCTGACTTTGTCCCCATTGGCTAATACATATAAAGGTGGTGAGGGCACCCCGAACACCTGCAGCCCTCCCAGCACCAGACCATCCAGGGCCCCATTCAGCCTGAGAGGATCACTCACCACCTGAGACTGAAGAAGACATTAAGGGACCATTTATGGGTCTTTTTGTCTGAATTTATCAGGTCAAGGGTTTTAAGCATTTCAACATAATTGCATCATTCAGAAAAGAAAAGTAGTAGCGCAGTAAAATGCAAAACATTGTCTCTGCAGCTTTCCCCAAAGCAAATATCACTCGTCTCTCTCCTACCTGCCCAGCAGTGAAGATAACATAACAATAATTTCCCATTTCGAAAGTGTGAAGTGTGTCCCCGTCATCCCAGAACAAGTCTCCCCGGGCCCAGCCGCCCGCTGACAGAGCCACGGTCAGGAAGAGAGGGTTTCTGCGTGAGGCTGCGGTTGTCAAAGCAGGCTCCTTCACAAGAAAAAGGCACATCAAAGAAAAGATGATGAAATTATACCAAATGCACTCTTAAGTGTTTGAGGCTAGCTTTTGAGCTTTAAGACGTCAGTCGGGATGTCATGATAGTTATAGTTCAAAACAACGTTAATGTCACATCCATTTTACTGAAAACTAAGGTTCCTGCGTAGATAAAGAGACAACAATTAATATTAGATTTGACACCAGTCTCAGCTACATAGAAGTAGAAATTGTAAATAGTAATTCTGAGCACTTGTTTCCCAGGTTTCAATTGTACATCGTGTTTTTTGGGGAGGATTTTTCCACCCTCAAATATTTTATCAATAATTCATCTCCAACATGTTGTCTCCCAATGAACCAAAAATCAAACAGAAAGTGTTACGGTCAGTAAAATGAGCTGCATGTTGGCAGCAGACACCCACCTGCTGGGGGATAATGTGTCCTTCCCTCACATGGGCGTTGATGGTGTCCAGAGGGGCTGGCAGGAGCAGGTACTGACCCTTACTGTAGAAAGGCTGACCCTAGTGAGCAACACACAGATGACCAGACCTCAAAGGGAAACAGGTGAACACTCCAGTAACATGTTACTAGAAAAAGCCTCAAACATGGCTGCCTTTAGCAGTAAACAAACCAAATATTGATTGGAGTTTGTCTCACATTGTGCAGGCTGTACCAAGTGCCAGAGGGCAGGTAGGCGGCCAGCTCTACTGCCCCTCGCTCTAAGACGGGGCTGATGAGAAGTGAACTCCCCCACAGGAACTGTCGGTCTATGGCCTGACAGTTATCGTCAGTGGGAAACCTAAGAGGGACGGATAGACCAGGAGCAGAAAAAATCGATGTGATAGAAAATGAAGCATGGGGTCTCAGTCATTTTACATAGGACAATAGAAGACAGAGAGGACACATACTCCATGAAGAGAGGCCTGGCCACGGTGGCAGCAGAAGAGTGTGCATGATGGAAGAGTGTGTAGAGGAAAGGGAGAAGGGAGTAACGAAGGTTCAATGCACTCCGCATGGCTGCCTGGGCCTTCTGCCCAAATACATAGGGCTCCTGAGGCTGAGGGACACATAGAAACACGCAGACAATGACAAGATATAGAGTTACCTCTATTCATAATACATGAAACAGATGGACTGCTCTAGACGCAGTGAAAAATCATACGGGGCGGACATTGACGTCCTAAAAAACTACTGTAACTACTGTAAAAAAAATGCACATGAATTAACTCAATGAATCACATAAGTTAGCACATAAAGTACACACACAGTACACACAAACAGTGTCTCTGTCTCACAGCGTTCGACTTGTCATTGTGGTTTCTCATAAACGGGTAGAAGGCCCCAAGCTGCATCCATCGAACACACAGTTCCTCGGTGGTGTTCCCTCCAAAGCCACAGATGTCCGCCCCCACAAGGGGCACGCCGAACAGGCCGAATTGCAGCACCGCTGCAGGAGGGGACAGGTGCAAAAAGGTCTGTTTAAAACCAACAAATGGTCTGTGGCCACAATTCTATCAGTTAAAAACTAGAGCCCTCTCCAGCCAATGTCCCACTGAATAATCACGTGCATTCAAACATGTGGGACAATGTTTGATCATAATAAAAACACAGTGTTATGACATCTCCTCACCAGGGATGGAGTATC